GAAATTGTGTTATTTCTGTATGCAAATGACATGACCTTATATATAGAAAAACCTAAAAAATTTCACCAAAAAACTGTCATAACTGGCAAAGAAATGTAGTAATGTTGCAGGTATAAAATGACTATACAGAAAGCAGTAGCATTTTAATACAGCAGTAATAAACTGACTGAAAAGGAAATCTAAAAAAAAACCTATCATTTGTAATTCATTACTAGGAAAATTTATCTAAGAAAATGGATAGAATTACCATGTAATCCAGCAATATCACTCCTAGATATATATCCAAAGGAGATGAAATGATCATATCAAAGAGATATCTGTAATCCCATATATATTGCATCACTTTTCATAATAGCCAAGATATGGAATCAAGCAAAATATCCATAGATGAGTGAATAAAAAAAGTTTATATCTATCTATACATGATATAATAATTTTCAACCATAAAAAGGATGAAATTCTGTCCTTTGCAGTAAAAATGAAGGACATTTTGTTAGGTAAAGTAACTCAAACACAGACATAAAATCACATATTCTTACTCATTTGTGGAAGCTGAAAAAGTTGACTACAGAGAAGAGAGAAAACATCACTAGAGGCTAGGAAGTGAAAGGTGAGAGGGGACAGTCTTAATGTTACACAGCACATAAGGACTACTCTAGGTTACAACAATTAGTTAAACATTTGAAAATAACTAGAAGAATTAGAGAGGTCTAAATGCATAGAAATAACAACATATGAGGAAATGGAAGCTAAGTATCTTAATTTGATCATTATACATTATACTCATGTCTCAAATTATAATAAGATATCAAATGAATGAGTACAAATATGTCAATTTACAAAATATAAATCTCAAGGGAAAATAAATAAATTGTAATATCATTAACAACCACACAAGGTAGAAATACCTATTATAAGCAAATTCTTACAACAAAATTGTAATATTCTGAATCTATGCTTTATTCAAAGGAATAAAAACTGAAAAGAAAGAAAGAATAAAACAGGAAGGAAGGAAAGGAGGTAGGGAGAAAAGAGGGAGGATTGGAAGAAAGAAGGGAGAAAAGAGAATGAGAAAGAAAAAAGAGAAAAAGAAGAAAAGCAAAAGAGAAATAGTGAGGTGAAATTTCCATTATGGTTACATTTTCAGGAAATGGCTCTCATTCTACATCAAAATATTGGCGATGAATGCACATTTATTTACTTTAAGTAAACACAAAATGTAAAATAAAATGTTTATTGTCCCTCTAAAATAAAAAAAGAATAAAGATCAATGTACTAATATACTATGTCTATGTATTCTCAGCAGGTTTCTGCTGAGCAAAAGGACATACCAGAAAAGAAGCACATATTACATCAGTACTATGCTTGGACTCAGAAGATGACTTTCCAGAGTATGACACTTTGGCGTGTTGAGTACTTTGAACTTAAAAATGTCAGGAGGGCCTCAGAGGCAGTTTCTTTCTCAACTTCTCCCACCCTTCATTCCCTGGCTTTTTTTCCACCAAAGAAGGACATAGAAATTATGAATTCCTCTCTCTATGGGTGGTAGAAACTAGAAACCTTCTGCTTCCAAGCCAGCCATAAAGCTCAGAAATATTTCTTCAACTGTCCCCACAGTTAGGTGGCAAGGGCTGGTTGCTATGGTGTATTGGTAACACCCACTGCGGCCCATTGTGATTGAAGGCACGGTCTATAGGTTGCATTGTTGGAGTTGGTGGAATCTCTGGAAATGGGGCTCAGTGGGGTGTCTTAAATCTTTGGGGGCTACCCTTAGAAGTGACTGTGGAGCATCAGTTTCCCTCCTTGGTTTCCTGTCTGGCAATGATGTGAACTCTTTCACACCTAAGCACTCTGCCCATAGTGAGCTGCTATCCATGGTCCTCACAGAGGCCAAACCAGTCGCCTGGTCTTAGTGATTATCTCTGAGATTTCTGAGCTTAAGAAACCTTTTTTCTTTGTGAAGTTAGCTGTTTCTGATATTTTATTGTAGTAACAAAGCTAATTCACTAGCCATAAAGACATCTTCTAACTTACCTTAACAGATCGTAGGTCTAAGACCCTCATTCTAGAAGGGGTCCTGCCTTATCCTCAGAGGATGGAATGCTACACAGACAGGCCAAGAAGAACCTGAACGTAGAGGCCTTGCTGAGTTTTCCACTCACTCTATTACCATCAGATCATACTTATTTTATCCAATCATATTTCTACATGCCTGTGTATTCTTCATCAAAACTAAGCATAAAAAGTGGATAGTTTATCTGGGATCTTTGGGTCTTCATTTCTTAAGTCTTTCGTGTCACATGAAATTTTTATTAAATAAATTGGTTATGCCTTGTTAACCTGTCTTGTTCTAACCTGACATGGCCCTTAAAGCTTGATAAGGAAAGGGGTCACATTTTTCTGTCCCTACAATTACTTGACAGATTCAATACCATTTGGGTTACTGGTCTTCACTGCTATAGGAATACTTGTACTCATTCATTTACTTAGAACATATTTATGGAGTACATACTATCTACAGGTAGATATTTGAGTTTGACACTAAGCAGGATTGTCAACTTAATTGGTTTGAAAACTACCTGAACGTTGAATGAGACACACTTCTGGATGTATCTAGGTGGATCATGGAAGAGTGACCTTGGGTATTATATCTGGTCCTGGCCCCTTCCTCTCTGGTGTTCTTCCAACCCATTCTGCTTCCCAGTCACCATGAAGTTACTAATTTTGCTCCACTTCAACATGTACCAACTTTGCTTCTGCCCTGGCCTCACAGCCAGCACCATGGACTGAAACCCCTGAAACCATGAGCAGAACTCAACCTCTCCTCTTTGAAGTTCTGTGTGTGTGTCAGGTATTTGGTTCTAGTAGCAAAAATCTACTAATACAGTGTGTGCAAAGAGCTGACTATAAGTTGTTGAAACTATCATTTTACAAGAAAGGTACAGATTAAATAGATGCACGATTATTTATTATTTTACAATCATGATAAGTGTTGCAGAGGAGAAATAACTATAGGGTGCCATATATGTTGAGAGGAACTTAATATTGAAACAGTTCATGGTGATAAACAAATTTGTTTTGTTCACGGAAATAGTTCACTGTCACTCAGAGGGTTAGGTAAACAGAAATTACAAAATCAGCTGATACAATGAATATTTCACATTTGAACTGTGAGTAATGCTCTATGAGATCATATTAGAAGTATAAATGGGAAAAATTATTAAAATGGTTTGACAAGAAAGTAACTCTTGAATTGGAAGTATTATTAACATGATTTGGAATTTTCCAAGTAGAGTAGAAACTGAAAACACTGTTATTGAAGTAGTAGCTTTTCAAATATTATAAAATTATAATAAAATATTCCATGTTTTGAAAGTAATGCTATGTTCAATTTTGCTGCATAAAACAGTGAAGTAGTAAACAAATCAGAGCCTAGTGAAAAACGTTTAGGATTGCCTTCTTTTACTTATGCTAAGCTTGAATGTTATAAATAGTAATGATTTAATAATCTTTACGTTCCATGGGGAACAGAAAAAAGTAAAAACAGGATAGTAGTAAGAAAACCATGTAAGAGTTTGCTCAAAAACGGTTCCAGATTACAGAGATAAGAACCTGAATGATGATGTATCTCTTCAAACGGTATTTTAAATTCTAGTTCTTAGAACTTAATGCTGTTTTGGCAGGGGACTGAAGTGGGGGAAGAGAGTGAAAACAACACTGAAGGTGACTATCATTGCAATTAAATAAGACAGGGAAGACAAAATAAACATAGCTGAAGGGAGAATTTAATTTTTTATACAATAGGTAGGAAGTGACTACAGTACAACAAAGATTTGATAGTAGACATTTGACATAATAAATCTAAGACACTGGAAAAAAAGATAGAAATGTAGATTTGGAAATCATTACACTATATAGATGACATTTATTTTGATGAACATTGATAAAATTACATAGGAAAACCATTACTATATAAAACGAAAAATGATAGTCAATGGTGGAGAAAGACTAGTGAAGATCCACCCTGTCTGCAACTTCATCTTGAGATTTCCAGGCATGGGACAATATTGGTTTATCTCCCTAGACTACTGGGAGAAATCTGAGGTAAGAATGCCTTCAAAAGTCATTTTGACATTATATGTTTTACACATCTTTTTAAACAAGAGAACTTTTTTGTTTTTTTTGCCTATATAATTAGTCAAAATTCATTTTAAGGAACAAAATAAAATAAATATAAAACTTATTTCACACTTCCTGAGAACATGTTGAACTTCTAGTTCACATTCACAAAATGATAAAAATCAACACTCTAAGAGTATTGCCCAAGACAAGTAAATATAGGCAGTTAATCATGCTTAAAAATAAACAAAACTATTCAGTTTCTGATGTGGCAATACATTGAAAGGAAAATCACCTTTTCCTTCATAAAAGAATAAGGTACTGTACAAGTGAAATTGCCCTTCTTTTTCTCAGATGTTTATTCTTACATCACAGATTGTTAGACTTGTCAAGAAATGTCTAAGCACAATGGACAACTGCGGATGAATGACTGACAAAAGTAATGAGGGAGAAACAGGTGTCAAATGAAGGGCCAAGTGAATACTTCCTGTGTGCTTGGGTTTATGGAGCCATGTTTTTTCAACTCTGTATGCAAATCTAAACACTATCAGAACATAATTTTATCCAAAGTCTTTTGGGGTCAGTTTTTATTCTTTCATTTGCCTGAGGATCCACTAATCCTAAATAATATCCCTGTACCCAGGCAAACAGATGGACAGAGAGACAAACAAACACAAACAAACATCAAATTAAACCTAATTAATCTCTACCATACAGTAGTTCTGACATCTTTAGCTCTACAATATTTTTTGCTAGAGAAAATGCTAGAAGTTTGACATGATAGATAAAGAAATGGGGGATTGTGTAATAACAATGAGAAATAGAATGTAGCAGTCACAATTATGCAGATTACCTCTGAAACCCTCATCAGTCTGGAATTGCTGCTACTTTACTTCACCAAGTGATGATGCTGGTCCCTCAGTGTTGGACTCCCCATCCTCCAGAACTGTGAGCCAATTTCATTATAAATTCCCAATCTCAGATTTTGTGTCCACAAAGTGGACTGTGACACTCCTAAGTGAAGGAAAAATTGTATGCTGCAACTTATAAGTCTGTCTGTCAAGTACAAACATTCAGAGTAGCCAAAATGACTAAAATGTAGAAAGAAAGTAGAGGATATAGTAAGACACAATGGAAAAATAAATTTATTTGTTAAATGTTAAGGATATTCTCCTTTTATTTTGTCCAAATGTCAACCATATTCCATCAAAGATATACAATAGCTTCTTTCTCTCTCTTATTGTTATTTACTAATTTGATAACTTACTGATTTAAAAAAATTAGAGGTGAGAAATCCCAATATCTACAGGGAGAAAGCTGGAATCTCAAGGGACAGTTCCAGTCCAAGTCCAAAGGGCTCAGGAGCATGAGGTGGATGGGATAAGCTCCAGTCTAAATGCCAGCCATCTAAGAGCTCAAGAACTGATGTATCTATCCCAGTGCAAAGGCTGGAAAACACTGATGTCTGAGCTCAAAAGTGATGCAAAAGAAGTCTCCTTTAACTCAGCCTTTCTATTCTCCTATGGTTCTCAGTTGATTGGATGTGGCCCAATCACATTAGGGAGGAATATCTGCTTCACTTAGTCCAGCAATTCTAATATTTATCTCCTCCACAAACACTCTCAGATACACAGCTATGATGACATTAGACCAAAATACCTGGGCATTTCAGAGTCCAGCCCAGTTAGCACAAAATTAATCATCAAAAGTTATTGGATGTAAAGGAGATTTATTGTGCAGTGGACATTGTTGTCTGTCTATTCATTCTTCTTTTCCAACTCAGCTCCAATTCTATTTAGGGATCAGTTCCTATTTCATGCAGCCAATAGCCTCAGGGAAACTGACCAGCTTCCACCTTGGAGGGATTGGTCAGAGAAAATGCCATATTTTTAGCCAGTGATTGGCTCAAAAGTGAACATGTGACCTGATTCTGACCAGTGAGACTCGAATGTTTTAGTGTGAAATTTGTAGACACATTTGTTGCATATTTTTGAGGAATAATATATGTAATGGTTTTAATAAACACATCAATGATGGAGACAAGTGTGAGAAAGGGATTTGCCACAGTCTACACTGATAAACACAATATATGCTATATTAAATAAACTAATTTATTTTATGTTTTTTATATTGAAAATTAGGATATCTAATATAACTAACAATTATATTGATGTGATAATGAAAATATTTACATATATAGTTTTCTGTATTTGATTAAATTGTTAGACAATATTGCTGGTTAGAAAGAATTAGAGGATCAGAATATTATTGTATTTAGTGTATGTCCTCGGGAGTCTGACAGGGTTCAAATCCAGGGCGCTTTACTTACAAACTGATTGATATTGGGCAAATTGAAACTTCTTAGAGACTAATTTCTTCATGCATAAAATGAGCAAAATAATGGTACATATTTCATATAAGAATTAAATGAGTTATTAAAGATAAAGTCTTAGAACAATGTGTGACATATTATAAAAACTTAATAAATGTTAATACATATAAGGAGCTATGTGAAACTTGACTTAAGCAAAGTAAAAATCTTTGACCTGGCTTCATTTCTGCTTCTGCAGAATGTGACTGCTGTACAATACACAACTCTATGATTCCACCTGTGTTTATATGGCTTATATCTATGTTAGATTAACTGATATTCCAAACCACAAGAAAAATCAAATATTTAGAAAAGCAAGTGCCCATTTACTTGCTGCCAGAGCAGTAATTTGTAGGGTTCCAGGAAAGAGGAAGGAGCATAAATATTTGCTATGCCCTGGACTCTGCATAACTCATCTGACACAGTACAAATTATTTCAATCACATTTCATTAATCAAGTCCAACATAAACATCAGAAATTGCTTCCTTGCCTACTCCATCTTTCATGGATCAAAGGAAAAGAAAACCCAAACCAGAAACTTAAGTGATATTCAGCTCTTTTAAAGGCCTGGAATGCTATCTTAGTACTAATTAGAAAACACTCAGGATTATGAAATATACTAGAACAGGTATAACACTTTTAAAAATCCTTTTAAAGATCTGAACTATGTCTATTTCCTTTAGTTCACTGGCCAGTGAGATCACTGACCTGTGATGCCTTTGGTGTGTTATAAAGAAGTAAAAGAAGTTATCAATGGCATTATTCCACATCAAATGAAGAAAAAGAAATACAGCTTTTTTGTTTGTTTTTAAGGAAAATATTACTCAAGATAGCTCTAAACAAGAATAATGTCCTTTTATTTTTAATCATGACCTAGTTTCCATGAAATAACACAATTACACAGACTAATCCCTTGGAGAACAAGCTGTTTGGTTGCCTAAGAAGTTCACTCAGCTTCACCCCTGAAATTTTTTACTTTCCCTAAGTTTCATCCTATTGCATCAATAAAATTAAGAAAAAGACACAATTCCCCTCCACTACTTTTCATAAATTTTCACATATATTTGAATCCACCTTTCCTGAACTCCTTTTTTATTATTATTAAGGTAGGAACATTTAACATGAGATCTACCCTTTAAATAACTTAAAATACACAATACAATATTTTTAATTATAAGCATATATTGCACAACAGATTCCTAGAACTCATTTGTCTCATATAAATGAAACTTTACCTCCATTGAACATCAGCTCTCCACTCTTCCCTTTTCACTGTTATCCAACTCACTGTTTATATGGGTTGCACTAGTTTACATGTTTCCTGTAAGTAGAATTATGCACCATTTGTCCTTAAGATTAAGTGCTCCTCCTTCATCTAAGGATAGTTCTTTCACCTGTATTTTAGATGCCATCTTGTCTATGTCTTAGAAGTCTTATTCTTAAGTAACTGATCCATGGTGGATAAAATCCATAAATCCAATGTTCTCGGTGGCATAGGTTTTTCTCTTGCTTTACTTGGTTGCTGAAGGCACTGGAAGCAGAGCTTGGAAGCTACTCAAAATAGAGGAAATGTTATAGTTAGACACCAGGGAGAATAAGATCTGAGAAATAATATGAGGGATCTCAGAGACTTAAACAGGGCCAATTTGGGAAAGCCTTCCCTGTAATAGAATGTGCAGATACTATGAGACGTTATTATTTTTTCTAAGGGCCACATCCCATCAAAAATATATATTAAAAATCAAATGAAGAAATAGGGAAGCATTGCCCAACCAAGTGAACAACATAATACTCTATAAAACTACCTAAAGCAACACAGGTCTATGACTTACTTGACAAAAATACTTTCTTCATCATAAGGTGGCTCAATCAGATAAGAGACTACAAATAGACAACTAAAGGAAATTGGAAAACTATGTATGAACAAAATGATCTTATTGACAGAGATATAAAAACCATAAAAGTAACCAAATAAAAAATTCTGGTGTGAAAAATACAATAACTGAACTGAAAAATTTATTAAAGATATTCCACAGCAGACATGACTAAACAGAATGAAGAATAAATAAACTTGAAGTTAGGTCATTTGAATTTACTGAATTAGAGCTAGCAGGGAAAAAGGAATGAAGAAAAGCAGAGAGAGTCCAAGGGCTCTTACAGACCTCCATGAAGCAGCCCAACATAAAGCTTTGAGAATTTCAGAAAGAAAAAGTACAAAATAATATGTATAAAAAATAATGGCTCCAACTTCCCAAATCTGAAGAAAGAATTGCACATGTTTGTATTAGTCAGGTTTCCAGCAGCTGAGATACCACACACAACACCCTCAACTTAAACAGAGAGAGGTTTCATTTGCCTTAGTTTTTTCAGAAGTTTAGTTTCATAGTCAGCAGATTGCAAGGCAGGAACATCAAAGCAGGAAGGAGCAAAGCTGCTCAGGTTTTGGTGGCCAGGAAACAGAGTAGGGGAACACTGCCAAAAGGAACATGCATGGGACCTTATAAGTACCCAAGGCCATGTCTCCATGACTCACCCAGACACAACCAAGATCCTGTTCCACTAATCAGCCACGGATTTCTGAATTCAATGAAGTTGACATATCAGGGTTAAGGGTCACAGTACGTATTCAAGAACTCATAATAATTCCAAATAAAATATGTCTGAGAAGAACCACATTGAACCAGATTGTAATCAAACTGTCTAAACTGTGAAATAAAGAGAAGATATTGAGAACATTAGAGAAATGTTCATACATTACATACAAAGATGTTTCCATAAAGTGATTGGCAGACATCCAGCACGAACCTTGCAGGCCAGATAGGAGTAGGATGATTCTATGATTTGGGTATTATTTCAGTGAGTCTTCCAAAGATTTCTGTTTTTGAAGATTGGTCCTCAGTGTGACAATTTTAAAGGATGGGTCTCTTCATTGTGAGGGGTCCAGTGATAGATCATTATCAGCACTTATACTAGCTCTGGCTTCCCGTCTTGTCATGTGATCCTCCTTTCTCAAAAAAGCTCCTACCATTGTAATGCCATTTGCCTGAGGGCCTCCCCAGAGGCTGAGTCAATAGGATCACCAACTCCAAAACAGTGAGAAAATATACCTCTTTTCTTTATAAGTTACCCAGCTTCAAGTATTTCATTATAATAACAGGAAATGGGCTAATATGGAAGATGCATTTAAAATACCAAAAATAAATTAATGTCAACTAGGAATATCCTATCAACCAAAATAATTCTTCAAAAATGAGAAAGAAATTAGAACTTTCCCAGATACACTAAATCCGAGGAAGGTCATTACCACTAGAGCTGCCCTACAAGAACTAGCAAAGGGAATCTTTGAATTTCAAAAGAATAGATAGGAGACAGCAAAACAAACTTGTACACACAAATAAGATTCCTTACTGAAAGTAAATAGATGGATAAACATAATAACCCATGATACTGTCATAGAGAAAACATTTTGATTGACAAAGCCATCCAAATAAATGTAATTTTATGTTAATGCATATACAACATATAAAGATATAATTCATGACATCAATAACATGAAGTGTCAGAGGAGTATGGCTG